CAAAGGTCTTATAAGATTATGATCAATTCATAAAAGAGAGATATATCTATCTTCATAGCAACGTAAATAGCTTCAGCAAGAGATTCATACGAGACTTCTTAGCATAATAGCAACAGAATTTTACGATTCTAAGGGAGTACGTTGCAATCTTTCTCAAGAATATCATACGGATTCTCTCCTACTTTGATCCATCGTTACGTATTTTATCGCAATTAACATGTGTTAGAGGGATTGTTAAGAGAATCAGTTCGGGTATGTTAAGGCTAATCATTTTTTCTTTTGGCATGATCCAAGTAACGATACGTAAACGTAATGTTATTCCATAAGTAGTTCTACTCTTAGCAGTTAAGGTTTTCTATGTTATTCATTCATGTAAAATGATATTCAAGCATGTCTAAGCATGTTCCTAAGTCTCTATTAAGGTATTTGATAAAAATGTTAATATTTTATAATATAGTGATACATGTATCTTCATGCATTTACCACCGTGCTACGGCCGATCGGGCAGTTACCATCGGTTGGACAATTATGTATCATTATTTACCACTGGTTGGGCAGTCATGCATATTCATTTACCATCGTGCTACGACCGGTTAGGCAGACATGCATCTTTATTTGCCATCGTGCTACGGCCGGTCGGGCAGTTACCACCGGTTGGGCAGTTATGTATCATTATTTACCACTGGTTGGGCAGTCATGCATATTCATTTACCATCGTGCTACGACCGGTTAGGCAGACATGCATCTTTATTTGCCATCGTGCTACGGCCGGTCGGGCAGTTACCACCGGTTGGGCAGTTATGTATCATTATTTACCACCGGTTGGGCAGTCATGCATTTACCACCGAGCTACAGCCGGTTGGACAGCTACCACTGATCAGCTGGGCAGTCATGCATCATACGATATCGATAATAGAAATAATCTCAAATAGAAGCATTATATATATATACAGTGGCACTTCGAAGATTCAGGTTGATTCTTATATGTTTTTATTAATGTTGACTTATTGTTATGTTTCAATTCCGCCTTACATACTCTGTATATTCTTCGTACTGACGTCCTTTTTGTTATGAATGTTGCATTCATGCCTGCAGGTATAGATAATCAGTTTGACGAACCCTCATAGTAAACGAGGTTAGCATTCAGCGAAGGATCGGTAAGACTCCACCTCATTCGGAGTGCAGCCGAGTCTATAAGTCATCGTGTCAGAGTTTTGCTACAGGCTTATAGATAGGCTGATACCCTGTCCCATTTGATATCAATTAATCTTAGAAGCTTTGTAGGCAGAGGTTCATTTTGTACAGTATGTCAGAGGCCTTGACGGCCCATATGTATTCTTGTTTTAAAAAAGATGGTTCACTGATACAGTATTTTCCCGCTTATAGTTATATATTATGAGTTATGGCCATGTTAGCCCATAATAGTGACAAAAAAAGAGTTACAGAGTGGTTCGCTCAGGCCAGTACGACACCGAATGCCAGCCACGCCTCCCCAAGTTTGGGGCGTGACAATTGTGCTGTAATCCTATTAGTTTTAGGACATAATACTACAAGTTAGGAATCCTACATAATTACCTTTAGGAATCCTATTAGTATAATTAATTTCGAGCATAGACATATAATACTAGATGTTAGCATGTAAACCTAATACCTTTAGGAACACGTTAGGTTTTCTATTAGTATACTTACTTTTGTGATAAAGACATATTTTTAGTTATGTAATCCTATTCTTTTTAGGGTATACTTCTTAAAATTTTCTATTACTAATTTAACTTGAAAACGTATTATAATGTCCTATTCCTAATCTAATTTGAGAATGTATTATATTGTCCAATCATTTAGAAAAAGGAGAGCCTATATTATTATAAAAGTACGAATACAATATTGATAGACCAAAATAGTCTTAAAATATTAAATAGAAGAACTCATAGGGCCAAAAGAATATAACTAAAATAACCTGTTTTTTAGACTACAAGACCTTCTATTTTACTTTTTTTTTAATATTTAATATTTTAAAATTAATAAAAAAATTCTATTAAATTCTTATTAAAAAGGTGTAAGAAGGTTTAACAAATCAATTTCATAAGAATCTCCATAATAGCCAATATCAAGAAAAAATAAAAGTAATATTAAATAGTATGCAAATTGAGGGAAAACAATTCCATAATATATTTTTATATTATATTTAAATTGTTTTCCTACTCAAACAATATAATTTTTTATCAATTTTTTGTGTAATATTGAAAAATATACCCAATTATTAAACAACAACTAAGAAATATTTAAGAATATAAGGGGTCGTTTGGTTGGGAAATAAGTTATCCCATGATTAATTATCCGGGATTAATTATCCTACCCTCCCATGTGGATAAAAAAATACTACAATCCTGAGATAATTAATCCCGAGATTAGTTATACCACGATTTTATTCCAACCAAACGCGAAATAAATTTATCTCAAATTTAATCCCGGAATTAATTATCCCTTATCCCTCGTACCAAACGAGCCCTAAATATGTGAGAAAGAGAAAGAAAAATAGTTGGTAAGAGTCAATACCACTAATGATTCTGCGACCATAAAAATCTAAAAGTGAAATATCATATCGATCTTTTTACTATTTGAAAACAAATTTTATGGTGAATAAAATTACAATTAAGATTAAATCTTCAAAACAAAAGATAAGTTAATATTTGTATGTGTTGTCATTATTGAGAATATAGACATATCAAGTGGTAGAGAGGAGTCCATAAGATTTTTATCAATTTCTTATATACAAGTGCACATTAGATTGGTGGTTACCAATCTACAATATGTCATTGAGGCAAAGTGTATGTCATCTTCCGTGTAATCAAAGTTTTTGAAATATAGAGGTTGGAGTTCGACGTAACTCCATCATCGAGATGATGGAATTTATTTTTATTTTTTAAAAAAGAGATGAACTAATATTAAGAATTTGAATCAAACTAAAATAAATTAGTTTTTGTGCTAAGACCAAGTAGTGCTTGATGAATTTAACCTTTTAAAAAAGGTTGAGGGAGACCGGAAAGGAAGCTAGCAAACCTAGGGTCAACACCATAATGAAATCTTTCAATTAATTATTTAGCATGAGAATCCAATTTAATTGTACATAAATTTATTCCATAAAAATAGAGTTAGAGATTAAAAAAATTAGAATAGAAAGTAAAAAAATATTATTATAGTATTAAGAATCAAACGGCCATACAAGTGTCTGTTGACGCATAACCAAAGCTAAATGCTGAACAAGAACAATCTTTCTAGACTATATTATAAAGAGTCGACTCTGGCATACCAGGATTATCCTTTGTAGATGCCTCCCGTGGAATCGAAATAATATTTTTATATCATGCATTATTTGCAAATGTCAAATAAATACTGTTAGCAATAATAACAAATGGTGTACCATCAATGATTTTATTATGAGTCCGCTCACTTTAGATTTGATGTACCTCTGCAAACAACTGAAATAACCATCATAAATATATCAAAGCAGACCAATAGTGCTAAGTTTGTTAGGAAAGCAAAATTGATAATATGGGATGAAGCGTTTATGACTAAGTGTCAAATGATTGAAACAATCGCCAGAAGTTCTGGAGATATATTAAATATCAATGAACATTTGGTGAAAAATTAATGGTTTGGAAGATGATTTCTGTCAAGTACTACCAATAGTTCCAAAATCGACGAAAGCAGAGACTATAAAAACTAGCTTGCCAAAATTATACGTATGATCTCAAATGAAAAAGATTCAACTGACAAGAAATATAAAGTAAGAACAGATCAATATTCAATGACTTCTTACTTCGTGTCAGAAACAAAGAAGAGCATCTAATAAAAGATAATTTAGTTCTTTCAGAACACTTAATTATCAATCCCAATGGTAATAGTAGTACATGTAATAAGAAAAATAGTTCTATCATTAGATTAAAATGCAATTTGTGCATATTTCATGATATAAATTAAAAAGCTATCTTGGCTAGCAGAAATGAATATGTTGATTAACTAAATAAAAGGTTGATTGCGAATTTATATGGTAAAAATAAAATATTTTTCAGTTTTGACTCAGCAGAAGATGATACCAACAATTACTATAAAGAAGAATACTTAAATATTTTAATACCAAAAGGTCTTCTACCACATAGGTTTGTTGTCAAGCTTTTTTTTACATATGTTGATGCCACCGTATATATGATAGACTAAGTTAAAATTGATCTTCCATGCATATAGATTGATTTTGAAGAAAACTATGCCCATTATAATGCTGAAAAACTTAGATACACCGAATAACTTATGTAATAGCACATATATAATATATAGAAGTTTTGAGAATAACGTTATACATGTAAAAATTTATGATACTGGTCAATGTGCTTCTAAGTATATTTTTATCCCCGAATTCAACTTTCGTCTTCCGAAACTAAAGAATATCCTTTTAAATTTTTGGTATGTTTGTGTGAAAATAATTTTCGGTATGTTTATGTTTTGCAATTATAACAAATAAAGCATAAGGACAAACATCCTAAATATTGGACTATGTTTATCGCAATATATTTTCTTGCACGAACAACTATATGTTGCACCTTCAAGAGGAATATCAATATCGATAATAAGAGTTCTGGTTATGGCAGAGCAACCAAAGCATTAGAAGGAAACATATAAAAAACATCATCTACAAAAAAGTGTTTGGTAAGATACCATCACATTAAATACTTTTAAACTATACTATATAATTATCTAACTAACATGACTAAATTAATCATTTGTGTACATTTTAAATTCACGTATTATGCTAATGTAATGATATTTTCCGATTTTTAAATAATTTAAATGTTTAAACCATCACGTTCATAGATAGTGTTATTATAATATTTACTAATTTTTGCATAACTCGCCACACAATCAATCTAACCAACGTGTATTATTAGGGAATAAAAAGAAGAATTTAAGGAAAAATGTGGCAAAGCCGCGAAGGGCAAAGGCAAAGAGCAGGTGCTCAACTTAAGCATACGGCCAGAAGAACCTTCGTTTAGTCTAGAACCTTCGTTTAGTCTAGAACCTTCGTTTCTCTCTTCTATAGTTTATCGCAAAAGAAGAGTAGTAGTAGGAGAAAAATGTTCAAGAAGGCAGTGGACGCCAAGTCTCACCAGCGACTTTCCGGCGCCGACCGTAAGAAGATCCGTCGCACTATCAGAGACCGTTTCCCTAATTCCACTGATGCCTTTCTCGACCTTTTACTTCCTCCCAAGGTACCTTTTCCCTTTCTTCAATTGTTGGATTGAATATATCAACATTATTGCTAATTTTTAACTTTTCTGGATTGCATTTTCCTTTTTCATTTAATTTTGATTGTATTGCATTGAACAAAGTACTACTATCACTTATTGTAATTCATGGAATAATCAAAATTTTGTGTTTCTGCATTGATGGGATCACGCAGGCGGAGTTAAATGTTTCGAAATATCCAAATCGAGTACTCGTATATGGTTTGGAGGGTGATTGCCCAATGTTTTTTGACGTAGATGGGCGAGGTCGTGATATATTCCCTACAGGTGCGTACCATCTTACTTTCAATTTTTTTTATGGCAGATAGTCATAGTATTGTAGAGTAGATAGAGGATGAATTGGCGAAGGCAAAGGTCGTCTGAGATAGTATGACATGTCTCATGTACCTTTATATGCACAGGTCTTTAGACACGATAATATGATGATTAAAAATAATGCAGACTTAGCTAATAACACGACACAATGGAAGCAAAAGATTCATATAGATGATTTACCAACTACTGGTGAATTAATAATTGTTGCAATTTTAATTTGGTTCGGTGTTTGCCAAGAGTCTTTTTGGCGAGATCAGAAAGTTTTTTGTGTTTTGGTTATAGATTTAGAGAATCTTTACTTTTAGAGAAACTGTAGTATTTCTTAAAAGTCAATTTTTTTTAGGATTGGATTGAAATGAGCCAGAATAGAGTTGACTTTCATAGCAGACCCTAACCATTTTGGTTTGAGTCTTAGTTTATTGATTGAGTTGATCAGTAAATACTACTCAGTGGTGTTTGCTTTATTGGCTGAGGGAGAGTGTTTTGATTTTTCACTTTTTGATTTTAATTTTATGAAGCAATGTTTTGATAATCTTCCTGTTGGAGTATATTGACTGCTTATAACTTGCTGGTGATTACAACAACAACAAACCCAGTGTAATCCCATAAGCAGCGTGGTCTGGGGAGGGTAATGTGTATGCAGACCTTACCCCTTCCTTGTGGAGGTAGAGAGACTGTTTCCGATAGACCCCGGCTGGTGATTACAAACAACAACAGCCCAGCAAGATCCCACAGGTGGGGTCTGGGGAGAGTAGTGTGTACGCAGACTTTACCCCTACTCCAGAGGAGTAGAGAGGCTGTTTCCGGTAGACCCTCGGCACAAGAAGGAAAGAGACAGTGTATCAGTAACAACAAAGGAATAAAATATTGACATTTGTAAATATTTTAAGTAGGAAGGCTTTTTAGGCATGTTTTGTACACAGTAGCTATGTGATTTGATTGCTTGAAGGATATTTTTTTTAACAAGACAGAATTTAGTCATTAACCATCCTACTTAATTGAAAATGCTTTCTTTTTTGTTTTTCTCCTTTCTATGAGGTGAGTACAGTTTATGCTCTGTGGAAAGTCCCAGAACTTTTGCCTGCTTTTGTGCTGAAAGGGGGTGAAGTTTCTCATTTTATTCTCGGAGGGGCAGATTTAATGTTCCCCGGCATCAGTATACCTCCTGAAGGGTTTCCATCATTTTCTGCTGGGGAGCCATGGGCAGTAAAGGTTCCTGGAAACCCTGCCGCAATAGCTGTAAGCTTATGAGACCTTCCGGGTTTTTTCTCTTAATTTAGATATATTATCAATTTGAAGGATACTGATTTCTTTTCATCAGGTGGGAACAACTACCATGAGTAGCACAGAGGCTATAAAAGCTGGTCTACGTGGAAAGGCTTTAAAAATATGTCATTACTATCGAGACACCCTTTGGTATGAACTAAGAAAGTTAATGTTGTTAGTTTTAGTCCGTACAACTTCTAGAGGTCACCTTTTTCTGGATATTTTTCCAGGGAAGCCGCTGAAAATTGTCATGTACCAAATGCTGGTTTTCTAGAAGACGTCGTGTTTGAAGATCCTGCTCTATCATTGAGTAGTAGGGCATCTGATTCAAGTGAAGTTGATCCGTCAGTTGAGCCAGGAAATGTGACTAACAATGAAGACACCGGAGAAGTGATTGATCCTGATGTTACTTCATCAGGTGTTGGTCATCCTTGTACCACACAGAGTGATGGATCAGATGAAGTCAGTGTGCAGCTTATCAATGATCTAGGCGAGTTGAAGATTGCAGAAACTCCTGTAAATGAATCAAATAATGAGGGACAACATCCCTTGTCTGTTGAAGAGGTAGATGCACTCTTGGACAAGTGCCTTCTTCAAGCATTACATACGACAATTAAGGAAAAAGATCTGCCCATCCCTGGAAGTACATTATGGTACGACGGGTACCAAACTCATCGAAATCTACATGTCTGATACTGAATTTTTTTGATCATAATAAAAATAAAAGAAAAAGAAAATCGACTTTTGTGCACACAATTTCAGATGGTGAACTAAGAGTAGTGCACTTTATTTTTCCCATCTGGCACTAACCGTTTTTTGGAATTTTTGAGCATGAATTTTAAAGGCTCTTTTATACATAGTTTATTTTGCATTGTTATTTCTAGTATTCTTGTTAATGGAGAGGATAAGAGGTTCATGTTTGATGCAGATTGTTTTTTCAGTCACTACAAGAAATGATTACTACTCCTAGGTGTATTTAACTAAGCATTTAACCGTATGCCAGATGTTATATCAAAGTAAGCATATGCAGAAAAAGTGGAGATAAGTGATAACACCACTAGAACTTGTAAACGGTATTTTAAATAAGGCTTAAGTTGAGTACTCCCTTTGTTCCATTTTATGTGACACACTTTTTTTTTTTTTTTTTTTTTTTTTTTTTTTTTTTTTTTTTTTTTTTTTTTTTTTTTTTCTGTTTCAAAAAGAATGACACCTTTATGCATTTGGGAACAATTTAACAACTTTCAATTTTACCCTTAATGACATGCTTTTACATCCACTACAGTGTCATGGCATGTTTTAACACCACAAGTTCCAAAAATCTTTCTCTCTTTCTTAAACTCTGTGCCGGTTCAACAATGCCACATAAAATGAAAGAGAGGGAGTATTACTAGTGCAGAAGAAGCAGATCTAACACCCCTAGAATTTGCGAGGCAGCTATGTAATTGAACTCTAGACGTATTTCAGTACAAATGATCTTCATCTTGAGACAAAACAAGTTAGAGAAAAGCTACCCGTACATGCACTAGGCAATATTCCCTTTTCATGGCTGTTGTCCTGAAGATGAAGGTGATCTGATAAATTAATACCTCCTCTTCTTGACTTTCACTCTTTAACTTCTCTAGATGTTGGAGTGCAACTATATTTGACTTGTTCTATTCCTTGCTTAGCCACTTATTAATGGCTTCATTGCGCTGGTGTAGGTCAAATCACGTGCTACCTTGCAGGCCTCCAGGCATAACACTCGACATAAAGAAGTCATCTCACAAGAAATTATCCAAGTGGCTACAGGCTAAAGCCTCTGGCGGATTGGTAGTTCCGACATTTGATATGAAAGATGGAATTTGATTTTTTGAACATTAAACTGTTGGATGTAGCTGAAAATTTGCTATTGCGTTATGGATGATTCAGATGTGAAGTCATTTAGACTGCTATCTTTATGCATCATAAGAGATGCAGAGAGATTTCTATCTTGTAGGCCATATATTTGGATACACACACTTATATATACTGTGTTCTTCATGCTTAGCTAAGTTTAACACTGATATTGGCACTTCACATGACATTGATGACTGCGTGTAGTAGTACTCTTCATGGTTAGCTGCTCTTCTGTTTAACTTCTCGTCAAAAGCAAAGAATTATAAGTGGTAGGTAGGATTGTTCTGGTGCTGAAACTGGCAAGTATCTGTAGCAACCTCTATCCTCCTCTTTTCCTACTTAAGTTGGGAGGGTTCGAAAAAAGCTGTTAGTCAGAACTTTCAGCTTATCTTTGATGGCGGCAGGTGCAACATATTGATGTAGTCCCGTAACAACAGCCAGTAGGCAAGAGATTGTTTAAAAATTTCTGTGGAAAAAAATGTTACAACCATAGCCAGAACATGCGTGTAAGATGAGGTGGTGCAATACTATATGAGTAGTGTTCTGTCCTGTATTTTGCATTTGCGTATACCTTCATTGTTGATGCTATTTCTGCATTTTGCTTTTTTCATATAGCACATGTCTTGTGAAGGTTTGCTTGCATGTATGCCAGATGTGAGTTTTATATCCTCTTTATTTTTAACCCCAAAGCTAGTTCTCAGGCCTAAGTTCTTTATCTTGTCAATAAGTGTTCGAGAAATTTGCTTTGGTCTCTTTTATTTCGTGGCTTCATGGCAAAATGTGCCCCCATTTCTTGTTCCGGTGCGTTTGGCATCCAGATATCTTCTGATTTTATCTGGCGTTTCACATTATCTAATTGTTTCTCCAAACTTACCAATACATTGGCATGTGCAGATCTCACTGAAAGAAGATAAGCATAAGAAAGAGGTGATTCTTGTTTCTGTTAATCAAAAGCATCCAGACTACTTGTCCTTCAAGCCAGAAAAGAAAAAAGTGGACGACACTGGGCCCTCAATAAATCATGCTTCTAATGAAGAACAGCTGCAGAAGACACTGGAAGTTTCTGAAATTTATAAACCAAGCGTGCATGTAAATCCTATTTTTGCTTCTGTTGGTGCTGACACCAGAAGACTTTTCACTGCATCTGAAGCCTCTGAAATAGTGTTCCAGTACGTTGAGAAAGAAAATCTTGTCAAGCCATCAAATAAGTCCATTGTGACGTTGGATGCAATTCTATGTGATGCTTTATTTAAGGGAGCCATAAAAAAGGGAACGACTTATCCAACAGAAATTCATAAGAAGGATTTGGGACAAACTTTCATAGGTAGGATGCAAGCCCATCATTGCGTGACTCGAGGTAACGATACAGCTGTTCGCAAAGGTGCCTTGAAACCCATCCAGATAATGACAGAACGGAGGCAAGGAAACAAAAAAATGACTAAACTTTCTGGAATTGAGTCATTTCTGTTGGATGCAGAGGCTTTGGCTTCAGAGTTGCAGAAGAAGTTTGCCTGTAGCACTACTGTGGCAGAACTTCCAGGTCTGTTTTGACACTTTGACAGCTGTGTATGACCCTTCTTTTAGATTATTTAGTAATTATTATATGGTGGCTCTCAAACTTTGGTTTGTGATGTCCTCTTTGTGTTCTGTTGGTTTATACTTTACAGTGTCATTGGCAATATATCTTTATAGTCATCTATGAATCTCATGGTGTGGCTTGTATTGCTTATTTTCTGCTCAGCTCTTCAGTTTTGGTCTTGAACCCATGGGAACCTGCACTTCTTAGAGTGGCTTTTTGAAAACTATAAAAAGCTGCATCGTGTCTCTCGTTTGATTTCTGACAATGAGCCTTCACAGCATTCTATCCTTTAATCCTCCCTCAAGTGTTGTCTATTAACTGCTCACTTACATTCTCATGGTGAAAAGAGATTAATGTGGTACTGTTTCTTTTAAGACCTTAGGAGGATGATATCTTTTATCCAGGTTAGGAGGATATCTAGTAGTTGAGAATTGTTATAGTTACTTGCAGTTGGACATTTAGAGCATTGACGCTAGAGATAGTTCCATTAAAATAAAATTAAAAAAAGAAAGAAAGAATGAAAAGCAAACAGAATAGCTCTTACTGTGTTTCACTGTGTCTGGGGGTATATAAACCATGTTTAGTAGTCTTGCTTAATTACTAGACCATTTCCATGGTAAACTGATGGAAATAGCTTGATCTGAAGGAGTTGGGTACTATTTATCAATTTGTCTAAATACTAGGGCTTCTTAATTCAATAATTTTTATTTATTTTTCCTCATGTGGAGTTTATTACTATGCTCTGGTTAAGTGAAAGACATGCCGTAGGCCCATAGCAATTTCTGTAATCCATTTAATCAAGTGGGTATTGGTAGGAATGAGTGAGTATTCCTAATGTGCCTCAAAGGTGAATTATTTAATATTGGAATGAAAAGCACCTGAATAGAGCAGGATGGATATAAAGGATTGATATGGTTGATCGCAACTGATTTGGTATTGATGCATGATGATTGTTTGATTCACTTATATTATGCACCTGGCTTTCCTTATCTAAAAAATATTATGCACCTGGCTTTGTAGGTTATTTTCACTTGCTGACGTGATACTTTTGGTCTATCTATGTTTACTGATTTGCTATGTTTGCGTATGAACTTGGTTGTCACTTTGTTCACTTTAAGGGCAGATATATCATCCATATGTAAATTCTTCTATAATTTTAGGTAAGAAAGGACAGGAAGTTTTGGTTCAAGGAGGTGTTATTGATGATCTTGCAAGATATCTTGTTGAGCAGTATGGTGTCCCAAAAAGATATATTGAAGTGCTTGATAAAACAAAGAGGTGAGTGTTGAGGTTTAGTTCGTATCCTATTAGCTAGCGCACTTTGTAAATGTGAATTCGGTTTACCTTTTACTTGTGCTACAGAGGAAAGTGGAAACTGAGATTTGACAACGATGTTTTTGCTAGACAGATCTATTACATAAACTTAGGTTTATTGTTAATTTGTTATCTTCAGGTAAGAAAGTTGGGAACTTACATTTTGGCCCATAAAATGTGGAGAGCTGTAATGCTTGATGATTATCCTTTTGGACTAGCCCTGTTGGTGGATGGAACCTTAAAAAGAGAAGTTGAATCGAATTATCTCCTTGCCTTGCACCCGATAACATGTTAAATATTTCTTTTTTCAAGCTTTCAGATACGATTGCAGGGAGATTGTGAAATACCTATTGTTTTATTTGTAGCTAGACATGTTACCAGCAGCCTGTAGCTTGTATATATTTTGTTTGATTTTTTATCGGTCTTCGTAACTACTGGAGCAAAATTATACTTGATAAAGCATATGCAATGAGAGAAATAAGGATTAGTTATTCATGAGAATTAAATTCATTTTTGATTGTTCTGGTTATGTATTGCTCCCTCCTTTTTATTTCACGACATTATGTACATTTTGGGATACTTCGAAATGTCTGATACCCATTACTTCTCTATACAATTTTCACAACTTTAAAAGATTTAAGCTTATCAAATAAACTTTACAACTTTGATGAAGTGTTTTCTGCATCAAATTAACTTTTTAACTATTACTTAAATGAATCTTTCACGTACAAATACAATATATAAGCAAACTAGAATCTTTAATTATGTTCCCTCAAATCCCGTCTTATAAAAGAAAATGGAGGAAATATCGTTGCTACAAGGTTTAACTTGAGTTATAAATGGGTTGAATCACTTTCTGCTGTCTGCGAATTCCTTTTTTCTCTTCGTTTTCAAGTTATGATTTTTCAGATTCTAAATGATTTCTATTTCAAAACTTTGGAAGACATTGATCTAAATACTCGATCTCTATCTTCCATGAACAGCAGAGATTGTTTTCATGAATAGCAGAAACTCTTTCAGATTTGGGAGCAAGCGTACGTTGTAGTAGTTTACTGGTTTTGGATGAAATTGTTCATCTGCTTTGTGTTTTGCAACAATCACTGTATTTAGTTGCTGTTTTTGGTTCTTGGAAGGTCAGTGTAAAAGGGGAGAGAACCTAAATAAGACATTTCTCAAGGTGAAGTATTGAAGATTTCTTTTTTTTTTTTTT